CCGTTCGGCCTTCACGAGGCAAATAGTGAAAGGAACATTTGTCACTTTGCAGGGCTGATTGGATTGAGAATATCCATTTATAGTCTTTGATTGAACAGTACATGTCTTGGCTTGTAGTTGCTAAATTCATTGATTGAATAGTAGATTGATTATGTACAGTGACCTTCCCACGGGCTTCCTATTTTGTCCATGGATGAACAGGGGAAGGTCACAAATCCTCCTCTATAAATATGATGATATTGGATAGAGGAAGGATCCAATTTTTCTCTCACTAAAGTTCACTCTTGAGATAGAGTAAGAAATATAATTCGGACTGAGGAGATTTACCCGGTCTAGGTCATATTTTGTGTTCTTGTTGTGTGTTTTATATTACGGGTCGAGTGTGTCCAGGTCAAACCCGGTTAACCCACCCCGCTATATTTACACCATCAATAACAATAATAATAACAAAAATTATTATTTTATAGCATTAATAATATAAAAATAGCAATAATAATAACATGAAATTATACCTAAATAAACTTTTTAGTTATCGTTGGAAGAAACTGGAAGGAGTTTGAAAAAACTAGGAGCTGGAAAACCGGAAGGATTTGAAAAAACTCAAAGGAGTTGGAAAATGTTAGAAGTTAAGAGTTAAAACCCAACAAAACATAGCCTTAACCCTTTGGTGTAAAACTTGTCAACGCTTTTAGTATGTGCGCCTGAAACAATCATCAAGAGTCAAAACCCGATGTTGTGTGGTAAAACGCTCCTCCAGAATCACCTAGCAATTATTACCCATCCTTTCGTGAGAATTTCTTGCTAAAAAGAAGTCAATTTGTGTCCTTACAGCTCCACTCACTCCTGTACGTGATAAAATGTTCCTCTACATACGGAATTGGCTTGGTATTGGCAGGCAGTTGTTGACACTGGACAAGGCTGATAGGTTGTTTCGGAAGCAGCAATGAAGGCCTTTGGTCAGCACGACTGGCTTTTGTGTGCACTGTGTTTACACCTGGAAGACGTGCAATGGACTTTGTTTTGATAATTATCCCTTCGTTGTTAGTAGTATCGTGTGTTTGTGTGTAAAAATTAAACTCACGGTGTATAGTGTCTTGTGTAAACCCTCTCCTGGATGTTTGATTTATTTTTGAGCTCGCCTTTGTTTTGGCGTTGATTTGTCCGGGTAGTATTGTCCTCAACATATTTGCATTTTGGATTACTAATGTTAATATTTAACGTTCGCCAAAAAAAAAAGATAAAATATGGCTCTAGCTTCTTAAAGCAAGTATTGACAATCATAAGATCGTATACAGGGAGAAAACAATAATATATTGACCTTCTCTATTTAGCTCCCCTTATTGATGCTCACCATGTACGCTTGCATGCAGTCCTGCCTCCCAGCCAACATGTCCATTAAGATCTCCACCAACAAAAATCTTTTGGGTACTAGGATGCCAAGATGTATTAAGAGGATGGAAAACAAAATTCCTCCCAGGTTGGTGAGGAAATTGGGAGAAAATTATTTTCTTTTCTTTTCTTTCCAATTTCTTTGAACCAAACATAGTGTTAAGGCCATGTTTTTATCCTTGATCCTCTCAAGTTCCACCACGTGTTTCCTCCATTCATTATCAACAATGATACCTACACCATTTCATCCATTAACTTGTATACCAAAGCTTAAACCATTGATATCCCAAGATCGTTCTCTAATGAAAATTCCCTCTTTTATATTGAGAATTCCCAAGAACGTTCCCTGTCCATTTAGTTTTTGGGAGGTATAAAATATTTAACTCAAGCTCTCATAAAATCCCCTACCTCCATAGATTTTTCCATTAGATTCACAATGTTCCAAGTCCCAAACCTAACCTTCCTTTCCCATATACTATCTTCTTTAGACGCCTCCATTCAGGAGAGTGTGGAGGCCCTTGCTCATTAAAACACTACATCCCGGAAACGATGCAGCAGCCCTTGGTCACTTACCCCACTGCTCAAGGGAATGCCCAAGCATACAATGCCTCAGTTAGAGGAAACATCGTAGCATTAGCAAAATTACTTCATTGATCCATGTTCAACTGATTCGGCAAGGTTTTTACGCTGGGTGTCGGGGCCTAACAGAACCCTCCTTTACCCGGGTTTGGGACTCACCATGGCGAATTTCTTTTGGGTAAGAATAAAATCATTAAAACGGTATACCTTTTTATGGTTCTCATGAATGATAATAAACTATAAAAAAAAGGTATAACAACAATATTCATTGTTCAAAAATTAATTAATTAATTAGGTTTTAAACGTTTTAAACACATTCATATAAAATTAATATGAACGGTCTTTTTTGCACTTGTATTAAACTGAAATCTCTTTTGTAATGTTTATAATTAAATGGGGTGAACATGGGTACAAGTAGAACAAACTTAATTAAATAACTAGAAAATTCCTAACATGAATATAATTTAAAAAGAAAACATTCTCACCAATGTGATAGTTATTCAGAAACGTGAGTAAAACTGTACCTTGTTGAGGATCAAGTCCAGCTAACCAAGATGAGCAAAGACCCTTTCGCTTCCTTCCATAGGGTGTTGTCCATGCGACTACGCTTACGGTTAGATGTACTTGGTTAGGGTGAACTAAAGGTGATGAAGAGATGGAAAAGGCCCTTGTTTTTAATGGAGGTACGAGTTGAACTAACCATTCAAATGGCATTTGAACTGAAGGGAAATCAACCAGTACCTAAAAGAATCACAATCTCCATGTCAACAAGTTTGAAGCAGATACATATTTTTAACAGCAAATAAATGATATGTACCTCCAGTACAGTTCTCCTTTCCTTCTGATTGTACTGATACAGATCATCTCTTCCTTCAGGTGAAGCGAAATACTGAAGTCTCTCCTTCTCATGCTCAGATGTGGCAAAATAACTCATGATCTGAACAATTTAACATTCCAACAATTCTTATCAATTGAACTTTATAAGAATGTCACAGCATTGAGAAGTGAATGAATGTAAGAGATCCAGGAAAATCTTGTTTTTAATGCTTAACAAGGGAAGGGAATCAATCTCATAACCTTTAGGGTCCATTTGGAACTCGGAAAATGCTAGGGAAGAAAAATATGGAGGAAAACGGAACTATAGAAGATTAGAAGGAAAGAATATGCAGGGCTAAAATTGGTTCAAACTCAAATTCAATTTTAGATATTTTTCAAATTCATGATATTTAATACTACATCCGTCCCATAATTTTGTTCTTTGTTTCACTTGGCCCGATTATTGATACAGTATATTTAGTTGAGATTTGTTTAGAAAAGAGAAGTATTATTAACTACGGAATCTTTTTGTAAAAAAGAAAAAGAAGAAAATTTGGGACAACCCAAAAGGGAAAACAAGAAGAAAGTAATAGCATGGAGGGAATATCAATATACTTTTATTATATAAGGACTAAAAAAATACTCGGTGTGAATGTATGTTAAGTTTTGAAAAGTTTTAATCAAATTTGATTTGCGTTTGCATTTTCCAATGTAAAACCAAACATTAAAAAATTACTTCCTCCGTCCCACTATATTTGTCCACTTTCATTTTTGCACACCATCCAATACACTTCTTTAATCCATTTTATCTTGTAATTTGTATATTAAAAAATTATAAAAGTTATAAATTAATAATCTATATGTTAAGACAAATCAAACAAGATCACGCATGACTATATTTAGGCTTACACATTGAGAGAATTTGATGAGTCAAAGTGCTTAGATGAACAGTTCCAAAAGTCAAAAGTGGACGAATATAGCGGGACAGAGAGAATTTGATGAGTCAAAGTGCTTAGATGAACAGTTCCAAAAGTCAAAAGTGGACGAATATAGCGGGACAGAGGGAGTATATGCTATGGCATTTTTCCCCTTTCACTGCCATCGTGTTTCAAACATAGCCAAAATTTCTCAAAGAAGATATAGAGCATACACAGAAGACACTCATGAAAGCTGCAATATGGTGGATTTTCCACTTTTACTCATATCTTGGGGAGTCTGTGATCTTTCTATTAAATATGAGGTTAAAATTGTAGTTTTGCAAAGCTCGCCCTTAAAATAACTCCTAACTCCTAACATATACCTCATAACACACTGTACCAAACAAACACATTATGTGCATATTATATTCTCTCTCCCGCAAGGCTGCAATCTCAAAACCCCCAAACCCAATGTCACTCACCAAACCACCTGGCAATAAAACCAAAGTTCTCTTGCTTTGTTGATGATAAATACATATAATCATATATACTATCGGCCAACAGACTCTGCAATTCTGCATTCTGGAGACGAATTTCTACAACACCAAATCAACCACTCCCGTGTAAGACAAAATTAAATACTCCATCCATCCCATAAAAAAGGTTCCACCTTTGACTTGGCACAGAGATTAAGAAAACTGAAATTGTGTGGTTGATAGAGATGCAGAGGAGAGAAAAATTATCAGGGCCACAAAATTGTTTCCAAAAGTGGAAAGTGTAACCTTTGTTTGGACGGGCGAAAAAGGAAAAGTGGAACCTTTTCAAGGGACAAAGGGAGTACCATGGTTGTTAAGTCGAGAAGTCGAGTTGAGTCGGTGAAGAGGAGACTAGTGGACTAGTTGATAAGTCGGCCTACTAGTCGTAAACTAGTCGACAAATCACAATTAGTATTCAAATTTTTAACATTATATATCTTCATTGACCCAAGATAACTATATATATTTGTATGACAAAATATCATATTACCAAAACAAAATTATATTTGAAGGTAGCACATAAAGTCACATTATGAAGGGTACATAAGAAACCAATATCTTTCAATCTTCAAAAATAACACACCACCCAAGATAATAAGCACAAAAAGAAATCAAAGAGCATATTACAATATTTAATGCCATGTTTTCAGTTATCAAATATCATCATCCAACATTACCATGATGATTTTCTTGCATTGTGAAAGATGGCGATGAAAGAGACGTCAAGATTTTAAAAGGGTTAAAGTCAACTGTGATTGTGCTGTGAACCGAGGGGGGCAATGTTTTATGGAGTATTTTTTAAAACTTCATAAAATTTGGGTCGGGTTGGGTCAAATCGGGTTGGTGTCTGTCAGCGACTAGTCTTCGCTTTGCTCGCCTGGACAATTAGTCCACCCAAGTCGCTAGCCGAGATGCAAGTCGCCACCCAGAAAACGACCAGACGACTAGTTGTTGACTAGTCGACGACTTGATTACACTGGGCTTTGTTTGCCTATTTTCGTTGCCTATTTGATAAAATAATATAGTCATGCCACCTCTAGTTTTGTAGATCTTTTGATGTAGTTTTTAAATATATAATTTTTATTTTAAAATTCTACATCATTTTTCATATAAAATGATTTGAGACTTCAGTCAAACATCGTAACGCGCAACAGGAAGATAATTTTTGGACGGAGGGACTATTTTGATCTAACCAATTTTTCCCAAACCCTTTTTCGACAAAACTAAGTATGGAACACACGCGATGATCAATTCTTCGTCTGAGGTTCTATTAGGGAGGATGGGATTTGAGAAACTACCTTACTAACCTCATAATTGTTGTAGAGAACAACTTTATTAAGGGAAGGCAATAAGTGGCCACTGCCACAATAATTTTGTATATGAAATGATCAATTTGAACTGGGTAAAAATATGGAAAAACAAAATGAGAAAAAAAGTGAAATTAATTTGTACGGACCTAGTAATAAAAAAATTGAGATTTTGACCAATCCTAAACGGTTGCCCATATAAGTCTTATAAGAAGCTAAGCATAGATGCAGACAAAGGATATATGATTGTATAAACATTCAGTTAAAGGTACGAAAAGCAGAGCAGAAAGTGGCATACAGGCAACACCTGTTCAAGTCTAGTAAGTATGGAAAAAGATAAGGGATATATGGAGGATCTAACACACATGGAGGGAAGCAAAGATGAGCAAAAAATGGAATAAATTCTATGTAATCTATAATATATTAAAAATATGAACAGAAAAACACAGGTGGACAGGCACTTGCACGAACACACAACCTCGAGAAGAAGCTAACTGATCCTAAAAGCTCCACACACGAGGAAACTACACTTAGATAGGCCTACCCTGTGACTGTAATCCTAGAGTGTCAAACACTTCTATCTAGGGTCATGTCCTTGGTGAGCCCTCAGAGCTGCAAGTCTTGTCTAATTAGTAATTACTTAGGCCCAACTCTTATTCGGCCTACATATACCGCTACTAAGATTCCCTACATCTAGCCTCTTGCAACTCCTAAGTGGAGCATCAATACTCATCCTCATCATGCGTTAGAGTCATCTGAATCTAGCTTCATGCATCTTATCCTCTACCGATGGCACACCCACCCTGTCCCGGATATCTTCATTTTGAACTTTATCCAACCTTGTATGACCGCACATCCACCACAATTTGGTTTGCGGAAATAGTTGAGACAGTCAAATTTGTTCGCAGAAATAGTCGGATCTTTCCTCACCCTCGTCTCAACTACACACTCCCAAGCCCTAAGTTGCACCAAGCAAGACCGGGTACTTACACGTGGACAGGGTTGGATTGTTAGAAACGTGGAAACACCAACTTTTCCAAATTTTATGAAGGATTTGGGTGTCGAAACGTTCTCAAGTACCCAAATGGGCACGTCAAGGACATGCAGCATCGCTTCTTTGAAGAATCAAAGCAACATAGCCCGGACCTTTGTAATGCTGCTGAGCAATTTGAGGCTCCTATAATTGTTGCAATTTTGGATATAACCTTTTACCATGTACACTGGGATTGTCACGCTGCCATCCTAACCATCTTGAAAATAACATTACACAACTCTGTTAGCCACAACATCCCTACCCTGCTAAGAGACTTCAAAAACTCTACCTGGACCTTGAACTTGCTCATTGTCACGAATTTATTGTTTGAACCGTGCAAATGCTCTGAATTTTAATATGATTATACTATTTGAAAAAGTATTCATGTTGATTTCACTCTTATAATCAATTTCAGATTTAGTGCTTGAATATATATGGTTAATCACAATGACATAAAACATACTCCTGACCAGTGACAGCATAACTAAAGGTTGGTATTTGTAGTTAATACTATATCATGACAATAGGATGATGTTTGCTAGGTCTGGCAAAAAATGACCCGACAACCAACCCGAAAATACTGGGTTTTGAACAAAGGTTTTGTTGACCGAACCCGAAGTTGACCGAACCCGAAATGACCTGCTATAAATGGGTCAAACTCGACCAAACCCGACTTGACTGACCCGCTACTGTTAGAGTTTTTCAAAATCATATACTTTACTATGAAATACTTCCTTCATCGCAAAAAAGATGTTCCCATTTTGACTTTTAATAAATTTAAGGGATGTGATGGGTAAAAGTATGATTTGATGTGTAGATTATTAGTAAAAAGGTTGATGTGATAGGTAGGTTAAGAATTAGTAGGGATAAAAATTGCTTTTTAATAGAAATTGGAAGGATTTTGTGGGACAAGTAAAAAAAGGAGAGAGTTTTTGGGACGGATGGAGTATAATGTTATTAAAATACGGTTTTAATTATATTTTTTCGTACTATTCATTTTTAGAGTATAAATTTATATTTTCAGACAAAATTATAATGATATTACATAATTATTTTACTTTTTTCCAATTTTAATTCTTTATATTGATTTATATACCTAAAATTTACTTCAAAATTTATAATAAAATAATATAATAGATATAATACAGATTCTTTGATATTTTAATTTTATTTAATGTGAAATGCAGGTGTTAATATGAATTTAAAAAAATTTAAAATATCAAAGTCATAACCCATTGGGTCAACCCGAACCAGATGACACTGAGTCATGAACATACAATTCTCAACCCGAACCTGACTTGACCGACCAATTTGCCAGCTCTAATGTTTGCTTATCAAATTTATCTTCAATAATAATCAAAAAGTGCTATGAACTTCAAACTAAAAGAATATGTTCCAACTCTATAACCCTTGATTTGCTATGATTTTTACTTGAACCATTTATTTCACTCATTAAAGCAAGATAGTATTGGCTAATGAAAAGATATACTCGTGCACCACTAAATAGTTTACCTCAAAGAAATAACGTCGAGGAGAGGCGGATGAAATGTCCATAGAGAGCTCTACAAAAGTTCTTAGCTTTACCGGGAGCATTTGAGAACATTTGGAAGTATCAAAAAGCTTTTGGTCTTTATCTCTGGGATGCACCTGGGGACAAATTATATACAGAGAAAGGATTCAATAACCAATGCATTGCGTATGTCATTACAAGTCCTTATGGAAGACATGTTTTCTATTGATGAAAACACTCTAGCTTCCAAACTAGAGTAATGATTAAAAAAAGCTTTTATATCAGAAAAGATGATATAGTAAAATAATAGGAAAACACCCGACATAATCACACCATGAGTATTTTAGTCTACAATAACAATTTAGAATTATGTGAAAGGCAGAGTAAGGTAAGCTTGCATTATGGTTAAGTATATGATTCAATTATTTGCTCCCCCCCCCCCCCCGTCACATAAAAATAGTCCTTTAAAATGGTAAAATGTTAAATTTTAGTATGGCACAACTATTGGAAATCATCATGTATACCTATATTTTTAAGTTTAGCTCTTGTCTCAACTAAATTTAACACACTCAACTTTTTTGGAGCATTTTTTTAACATTAACTGTGATTATGATAATAGCTTATTTTGTTCAATCAGGACTCTTTCTTTAAGACAATAATAAGTTTTCAAATAACTCTTTTTTGGGACGATGGAAGTAAAACCTAAGGAGATAGTACAAACAAGATGACCAATTGACCACATACTGTGATGTACGAATCAGGGTTCAAATTGCAACGCTTTATAAAAGCATCCACTGAAGCAGCACTTTGTCCAGGTAGAACCTCAAGCACATCACCAACTTCATACTGGATTGACTACATACACAATGGGAATCTATTAGAGAATAAATGGAAAACGGCACAATGAAGCGATTCAACCTTGTTCAGATTAGATATAACTTACCGATGAAACAGGTTCAAGTTCAAGGCGGTGTACATCTTTCCCACAGCCTGCTTTACATAACGGGTCAGTTTTTACCTATGTAAAAAGAGAATACATGAATAAATATGATGGCATCCATTATTAATTACCAAACTTCTAAATTGGGGGAAAAGGGAAAAAACAATTTACATTAATGTGTATATATGAAAGATGGCGAAAGGGAAGCACACCATCACCAACATCACAATTGCATGAAACTTACATTCAGGAACAGAGCATGCGCATTCATGGAGAGGTGTAGGTAGTTGGTCTATTTTAAAATGTGATTATATTCCTTAATAAAAATTGACAGCTTTGCCAAGCACAGAAAACTCAAAAACACAAATTTTGATATATTGAATTGCATGAGCAGCCAAAACAAAATACCATTCTAAGAAAGCAATCAGGGTGAATTTTTTCAGAAAGTGTTCCAGGTGACATTGAGCGAGCTCTTCCAAATTGCACCTCAATAGAATTCAGATCTGCAACTACATGAAATGAACTAATGAAAGTAGTCAAAGTACATTAGCAACTGAATGCAAATGGCTATTCCCTTAGACAAAGGACCATAAAGTGTGCACTGAGATCTTACTATGACTATCAGAACAAGTGCAGACTATATCATGAATTGCAAAGTCATTGGTGGTTTGTCAATATGAAGTAAAATACTCGTAGGATATTGAGACCTCACAAGTCATGAATCAAATTCTACTAGAGTAATGTATTTGGCATTTAGGAAATGAAACCCATCCATAATTGAATCACTCAGCTCCTTATTTTAGGTCTAGTGGAATCTTTTATTTTAAAAAGAGCATTGTTGTGTTTTGTTGATAGCCTTTAAGAAAGCAGGTGAATGACAAGGAACTAATAAAAGTGTGGTGGAACCACAAATGAAAATAGACTTGATATAAGCAATGACTTTAAAAAGTGCAAGTGCAACCAACTTTAATATGTTCATTAACTTTTAACATGTTAACAGTTTTATGTCAAGCAAAAGCTAAAGATTCTAAAAGTTTACACAGCATTGATCAGGTGGTGCGTTCATAAACTCTAAGTAATAGAATGCCATATTAAGGGTGCAATTGATTACACTAGGAGCATATTTACCTGTAACTCTTGCAAGCATTGAAAATGGCCGAGTTCTGACATCAGTATCATTAGCATCATGATATGTAACATTTATTTTAGGTTGTTCCATGAGCTTTAAATATGATATCTCATATTCTAGACCATTTGGGAATATCATTGGATTACTTTGGTGCAACACATTCCATAAAGAAGACATCCAAGGGTCAAAAGCTCCTTCATACCTACATGTACAGTTAGACAAGTCTAAGACCCTTTTTCGTACAACTAGATATGAGATGAGCAAGAGAGAGAAAAATTTTCTACAAAAAAATAGTCAAAAATATATTTTGAAAAGAAATCATGAAGAAACAGAAAATATAAACTTAATATGGCTACATACAAGAAATTGAAGCATATCGGTATCAAAATTGTGCCATATTTCTTTCCCAAAAAGAGAAACAAAAATAGCAAATTGTTTGGATTCATGTTCTATGATTCGCATGTTGATATTGTAATATCAATCATGTAATGTATATCAAAATAAAAAATATCTCCACTTATTGCATTTGTCATGATGTTTTCCATGCATGTGCAAATAACCTATGATGATGACAAATTCAAAATTTGCATATCATTATTCATTTTTAAGCTTTTATGAAGGTTGCCACGCAAAAGGCATCTGTCGTAAAACATTAACAGTATGCTTTTTCACATAAACTAATAGAGGTAATTAATTTTATACAATTAATTGGCACTCTGTACTTAATGTCTCCGACCCTAACTAGTTGGGATTACGGTGCTAATGAACAGGGATGCTGAAGAAATAGTTCGGGTAACACGTCAGAAAAAAATTAAATGAACCAAATCATATACAAACCCTGAAGGGTGCTGATCATCTCCCAGACCTTTTTCAATAACGGGAGTGGCACCCAAATCCAAGAGTCTCTTATCAAGCTTCTTCGCAACATACTGCACCAAAGAATTCGGAACATTTTACATCCATTCATTCCAACATTGGAAGTATGAATGGACAATTTAATAAATTTACAAACTCTAGAGGTCATTACATTATATTTCTGATACCCAGAATCACCCAATCCAAAGACAGCATACTTAACATTTTTAAGCCAACTTTGGCTGAGACTGCGTTTCAACAAGAAGCTCCAGAGCACCTGAAACAAAACCCCGAAATGAAAAGAGAAAATATGCAACTTAAATCAGTAAAACCTGCAGAAAATTAAAAAAATACAATAGTGCATTGTCCAGTAAAGTTTAACAAAACTTTTAGAGAAGACGTGGACCTTCATGGAGTCTGGAGTGTCTCCTTGACCAGTAGTTGAAACAACAAAAATTACCATATCCTCGTTGGGCAGTGAAGCCTGCAAAATTTTGCCCACAATTTAATATATAAGTTAAAATCCAACGATTATACTCCTCATAAGAAAAATACAAGATAAAAAGAGTAAAGATGGGTTCATACAGGATCATACTCGTCGACTGATAATACTAGTGCAGGACAGCCTCGACGCTCAGCTTCGCGGCCCAATCTTTCGGCAACGTCGATTGCGTTTCCAGTCTGTGAAGCATAAAGGACCAGCAATAGCTTGTTTTTCGTCTTCTCCTCCATTGTTGTTTGTGTTTCTTGAGCTGGAACTTCTGTTACGGCCTACTTCATACTCCAAATAAGAAATGGGCTGGAAATTTCTAACGTTTAACTCATCTGACTTGAGGGACGTTCCCCCATTAGCGTTAGAGTTTTGAAAAAGCTATCCGACGGTAGCCTTTAGCGTTAGCGTTTTTAGAATTAATCTGCACCGTTAAAATTTTATCCAAAACGCTAACGCTAATCGAAAACGCTATTACCAAACAAAGCCTTGATCTAATTTGACTAGTTTAATCTCATTAACTTATACCCGAGTGTTTAAAATTCTTTTTGGTTTAGGCTTTGATCCATACGCCTGATCTGATTGAATCTTATCTGAATTTTTGAAGTTCTGATCTGATTGAATCTGATCTGAATTTTTCAAGTTCTGATCTGATTGGGTCTGATCAGATCTGATTGGGTCTGATCAGATCTGATTGAATCTGATTGGATCTGATTTGATCTAATTGAATCTGATCTGATCTGATTGAATCTGATCTGAACTAATTGGATCTAATCTGATCTGATTAAATCTGTTTTTATCTAATTAGATCTGGTGTAAATAAATTTAAATTTGATTTAAATTAAACTTAAAATTATTACAAAATTTGATAGTTTTAAAGGATTACAATTTATATATACTACCTCCGTCCCATTTTATAACGCCTGTTTCGGTTTACGATGTTTGACTGAAATTATTTTCAAACCATTTTATATGACAAATGGTATAGAATTAAAAAATAAAAATTACATAGTAAAAAACTACATCAAAAAATCTACAAAACTAGTAGTGACAATAATATTTTATTTTATCAAATTGCTAATGAAAATAAAGAAAGAAAGTGAATGAAGTTTGACCCTGTGAATAGTAAACAGGCATTATAATTTGGGACGGAGGAAGTACAAACAAAAAAGTAAAATAAGAAAATCAGCTAATCATTGATATGTTTAAATTTTTTTTTGAAATATTAAACATTTTTTCAATATCACAACCTTTTTAATTTTTGTAAAAATGAAAGAATCGGTATTAAAATAACCAAATATTAGAAAATATTGATTCTATTCTACAAAAATATCACATTCTATATGCATATTACATAATAATATATTTCATGTTACAAATTAAAGATCATATAAAATTTTAAACACTAATATCCGTTTCACCTCTATCAATTTTGTCATAAACTCACCCTTATGTATATTATACAATCTTAAAGTTTAAAAGTAAGTCTTTTTAAGTATAAAATATTTATGGTTTTGAAGACTAAGTTTTGAATAATTATTTTATAAACAAGTATTTTAAAACAACTCTTTTTAAAGTATGAATAATACAAATTTTGAAGCTTTAATATTGCTTCCATGCATCATTTCTATCCTACAAGCTAAACAATTATTTAAAATAATGGTTTGTAGTTGAAAATAATAATAATAATAATAATAATAATAATAATAATGATAATGATAACAATAATAACAATAATAATATAACAAAAATAATAATTAAAATTATAATATTAATTAATATTTTGTGTGTGTAGTTTTAAATAAAGTAATGTGATTTAATCAAATAATAGTAATTATTATTTAATACTTGAAAAATATAAATATTATTTTTTATATTTTTTCTTGATTTGATATTATTCGATTTGATTTGATCTGATCGGATCTGATCTGATCTGATTAGATCTGGTCCAATCTGATTGGATCTGATCTAATTTGATTGAGTCTGATCTGATCTGATTGAATCTGATCTGATTTGATTGGATCTGGTCTGATTAGATCTGATCTGATCTGATCTGATCTGATTGAATCTGATCTGATTTTAATAAGAATAAGTAATAAGTAGAAAAAATAAATCCTACGGAACAGACCCTTAGTATGATCTGATATGACATGATGTCTTATTATCAAATTAGAAATATGATCTACTAATTTGATCTGATCTAGTTCGAATAACAATAAATAATAAGTTGAATAAAACAAGTTCTCGATTTAATACTCGTATTACCCTATGATAAATATGATAGAGTTTATTGCACCAATATCGTAGCTTGATAAATGTGCATTGTTACCTCCATAGTTTCACAACTTACGCTATTGCCCCTCATAATTTTGATATTACTACACCAATGCCCTTCGCTGCCCCTTATAGTTTTGGAAATGGGCACCCCACCCCTTTTTTTTCTTTTATTGTTTTTCTTTTTCTATTCCCTCCGTCCCAAATTATAATGCTTGTTTACTATTCACAGGGTCAAACTTCATTCACTTTCTTTCTCTATTTTCGTTAGCAATTTGATAAAATAAAATATTATTGTCACTACTAGTTTTGTAGATCTTTTGATGTAGTTTTTTAATATGTAATTTTTATTTTTTAATTCTATACCATTTGTCATATAAAATGATTTGAAAATAATTTCAGTCAAATATCGTAAACCGAAACAGGCGTTATAAAATGGGACGGAGGTAGTACTATTTTTTCATAAATGTTTTTTAGTTGCTTTTTTAAAATTATTTTTATAATGTTTTAAAAAATTCAAAATTTTTTACGATTGCAATAAAAGATCACCACATGGTGGGATAACGTAACACCCCAACTCGTGTAACCCGAACCAGCGAGTTAACGAATCGGATTGTTACTAAATTAGTATCCAAACACAATAATTTTAAACATTTAAACAAAAGTCAAATATTTCAAAAAAAACAATTAATTTGTTTGCCAGAGTTATTTCAAAACAGCGCGGAAGCTTATTAAATCATACCATATCATTAGAACAAATCAGTCCATTAACGACTAACAATTCTACATCCAGAACATCCCCTTCCGTCTCGTTGCCCTCCAGGAGTAGCTTCAACAAAATACCAAAGACAACAAAGACTGCATGCTCGGCTGAAAGCTAAGTGAGAATATATCTAACGCTAGAATTAATTCATAGATACCACATTCATACACAATGAGGAAACAATAGTATATGTAAATAGACAACATTATTGTTCAAAGTAAGGCTTAGATCAATAGACTAGAGTTACAGGCGCTAGAGCGGATCCCTCAAGGCCAATGCTCAAACAAACCCAAAAAGGATCCTCAATTGGCGGGTTGGAGTCCCTACCAAGGAATCCCAAAGGTAAGACTGTGACTCTCATGCGTACATTTTGAACCCTTGGCCACTGGATATGCAAACATGCTCCACATGGCCCGAACCTAACAAGTCCTATTGGTGTTCTAGATATTCAATTTAGTTTCTCATCCGCCTAGATATTCTAGGTGGCCTATTCTCAACAGAGTTCACAATACAACAGAAACACCAGTAAGCTCATAACAATTCACGTAACCAGAACAGTATACTCGGCGGCCTATCAGAAGAATCACGTCTCACCGATTATTGTCATGCTCAAACAACAAGGTAAAATTCAAGTAACATTAAATAAACCTACCTGTGTCACAAATTCTGGACAAGGGATTCTATCCTCAGGCCCGTTTCCCCTGCCAAAACAGTACGAACGCCAACCCAAAATCCTGAACCCGCCAAGCGGCTGCCCACCGCCAGGATACCCCGCTGCAACCCCCGGGCAGCTGGCCCAATCGGCCTAAATCCGTCCAAAATCATCCAACAGAAATCCAGTAAATACAACTTGGTCCAACATATCCAAATAACCCAGATTGTACCAATTGGAATCCGAATAGAACCAATGGCCGCCCTAAAGCCCTAATTAAACCCAAACAGACCCAAAGAAAACCCAGTTATCCAAATCAAGCCTAATTTGACCCAATTGAATCCAAATTGACCCAATTGGACCCAATTGCACCAAACAAAACTCAACTGGACCCAATGGAGTCCAATTGACCGTCCAGCAGTCCCTGCCAGCCCGACGCCGGTGTTTCGCCGGCTCGCGAAGACGTCACCCAATTTCAATCCTAAACCCAAACAGCAATCGATTTGTCCAAATTCAAAATAAATTGCAAAAATTTATACGAATACGATTCCAATTTACAAATTAACTCTAACCATAGATATATGAACAAGACTCACCTCGCTTAACCGAAGGAATCGAAATCAAAGGTCGAGGAGAACCGTCGCCGCTGCCACGAACGAAAATTTGTCGCTCGCTGCTCTTCCTTCCGCTACCGCTGTTTGCGCACAACGGAGGAGAAGGCTGACTCTGGCGGCGTCCGGAACAGAAGAACACGGCGATAGGCGAGGAAAGGATTTGGATAGCCGGTTTGACCGCTGTTTGACCAATATTTTTTTCTATTTTTTTATGTACTAGTTTCACACCAATGCTTAGGTCATTAAATTAAGATTATTTTTCAATGCTAAAAAATAAGATGAAATATTCTCTCCGTCTCACTGTCTTTGTCCACTTATCTTTTGGTACGCCATCCAATGCACTTCTTTAATCCATTTTATTATGTAATTTGTACATTAAAAAATTATAGAAATTATATATTAATAATCTATATGTTAAGACAAATCAAACAAGATCACACATGACTATATTTAGGCTTACACATTGAGAGAATTTAATGAGTCAAAGTTCTTAGATGAACAGTTCCGAAAGTCAAAAATGGACAAAGACAGTGGGACGGAGGGAGTAAAATATAGAGATTATAGTATTTTATGGTACAAAACATTGTTACTTTACAAATTTCGAAAGACTTCTTTATATACTACAGTATTTGTACAATCTGTGGGAACGTTGTCTTTGTTACATATTAGAATATTCAGGTAAATTTTACCCATGGTATACGAACTTTAATCATTATTTCACTTCGATATATAAACTTTAATTCCTATCACAAAAGTACACGAACTTTCAACATTCTTTCACCGGTGGTCCAATAGGCGGTTTCTAAGTCACCTTCAGGTGATTTGGGGTAAAATTATACCCCAGTAATTTTTTAAATTTAAATTTTATGATTTTGACCCCTTTTCTTTTTTACTCTTAATTCTTCACCCTTTTCTTTATCTTCTTCAAGACCCCCTCTCCCCCTCCATTTTTTCTTCTCTTCCTCTTCCAGCCCCACCCCCTCCCGCACCATTTTTTCTTTCTTCCCCTCTTCTTTTAGCCCCCACCCCCACGCACCCATGTTTTTCATTCTTTTTTTCTTCTTCTTCAATTCTTTCCTTGTTCGTGTTCTTCTTTCCTTCTTTTTGAAAGTGAATTTTCAAATATTTTATGCCACTCTATAATATACTCCGCAACTTCGGGTTTTCAATGAAGGATGACAGTTTAGCAGCAACTTGCCTTTGGCAGTGCCATCGCTCAGAATAACAACTTTGTCTGTGGGGGGAGATTGTGAACCAGGCTGGGCCAAATTCGGAAGGAAGTAACCGCTGAAGAAGAAATTCGCAACCAAAGTGTGCGGTATTCCTTCCGCCTCAACGGCCCTGCGAATCCCTGATTTCACCGCAAACGCCGATTTTGCTGGCTCCACCGCATTCACCCGATCCACATCCACCCCAAACTCAGACAGAAAAGAGATGAGAAGAAGAAAAAGAATGGTGCGGGTGGGGTGGGTGGGGGTGGGGGTGGAAGAGGAAGTGAAGAAAAAAAACGGAGGGGGAACGTGAGGTGTCTTGAAAAAGATGAAGAAAAGGGTGGAGAACTTAGAGAGAGAAAAAGAAAAGGGGTCAAAATCATAAAATTTAAATTTATAAAATTATAATTTGACCCTAAATGACCTGAAGGTGACTTAGAAACCGCCTATTGGACCACCTGTGAAAGAATGTTGAAAGTTCGTGTACTTTTGTGATAGGAATTAAAGTTTATATACCAAAGTGAAATAATGATTAAAGTTCGTATACCATGGATGAAATTTACCCTAGAATCTTCAAACATTAGAGAATATAGAGTCAAATATTAAAGAAACGTAATATAATCAAATAAGTGTAATTATTTGAGTTATGAAAAGGTAAATGACGTTTACCTGTTGGAATGCATGAGTTTAACCCTTTCTGTGTTGTTAAGTGTTGACTCACAGGTTTTGATAATTGACAAACACAATTTATTCAAGTCAAGATCAAAGTGCTACAACGACAAACACGAAGACTTGAAGTGCCATTCCTTGAAGTATTCAAGAAGGTGCACAGGATTTTATTAAAGTCCGAGACGCGTGTGGAGCGCCTAACAGAGGACTCGGAGGAGTAGAAGATTTCCGAAGACTTTTTATTTATTTGAGTCTTAGGAACTATTGTAAGGATGACAAAAATATCTTCTCTCCAAAACTATTTTTATGAGAGTTAAAATAAAAATTATATTTATTTTTTGAGTCAGTTGAAAAATCTTTTTAACTGTTCAAAATAGTTTTATTGAGTCAGTTACAAAAAGTGTGTCAAACATTTATCAAATGTTTATTTTGATATATTTTTGGTAAGCAAAAATATTTTATTCAAATATTTTTTCGTGCACATCGTTTGACACACAAAATAATTTTTGGACTCACTTTTTACTCCCTTATTCAAATACATTGAATAGGAGAGGTTTTGTTTGAGGAGCGTCTCTCATTCCTCTTGTCTGAAACAATCGCGTTAAGACATTTTTTACTTCTCATCTCGCAACTGGCTTGGGGCCCTTGTGTTTGTGCATCATTTCAAATCTAATCGATTAATATTCTCACATTAATCGATTTACCCAGTTTTGTTTTGATTAATCGATTAAATTTTTTTGATTAATCGATTAATTGAGTTTTACTTCGTGTTGAGCTTCTTTGATATAATTGATTTTTTTCTTCCCATTAATCGATTAGTTTACTCAGACCATTCTAATCGATTAATAGCTTTGATTTAATCGATTAGTCCTCTCAGAGCCTTCTAATCGATTAATCCCTTTGCATTAATCGATTATTTACGCGTTGAAGGAACTCTGCGCAGACTGCATTAATCGATTATTGACACTGCATTAATCGATTATTATGCTGCATCTTTTCTGCACAGCTTCTTTTCTTGGACCAACGGATATATTTCTTCACCTCCTATTTAAGCATCCTTCCTTGGTCATTTCTAATAACAAGAAGCACTCCTAAACTCCCCCAATCTTGAGGTTATAATCCTCCATTCATTTCTTCCTCAAATTGATATATTTTGAGAGAAAACTAAGTGTTTTCAAGAGAGTGGTCTTGTCATCCATAGAGCTTAATCTTTTCTCATTTCTACTCTTGTGAGAGTTATTGCTGAGAGGTTGAAGAAGATTGTTCTTCTTGTTGTTCAAGGCTTATGTGATTTAAGTCTTGGTTGTGAAGTCTTGTAGAGGGCATATCTACGAGCGGTTGTGTCGAGGCTTGTGGGATTCAAGTTCTCGAGTTGTAAACGGTTTGTTAAGCACCCGTAAGCTTAACGGAAGTAGTGGTAGCTTCGAGAGAGTCTCTCGGGGAACTGGACTAGCCACGAGGTGGTGAACCAGTATACATCGGTGTGTTCTTTGCCTTCTCTATTTTATTTCCGCTGCACTTTCGTTTATCTTATTTAATCCTGCGAAAATCGGTAAACATTCTCAACAACTCTATTCACCCCCCCTCTAGAGTTGCACGCCTTGTCTAACATTACCAACTAAAAGGACAGTGTCACCAAAACTCATTTTGTGAATGTCTTCAAAACTCTAAAGTTGTACCGGAAATTGGAAAATCCATTTTCCGAGAGCTTTTGAATCTTGGTCTTGCCAAAAAATTGCAGCATGCAAGGGTGATTCATAGTTTTTGTGCTTTGGAATTTACGCAAGACCTTGACTCTCATCACTAAATAAACAGTATTTTCTTCCAAAACTTCTTTGAAGGTGCGTATATTAGAATCTCTGATCTGAGCATGGATTCCATCGCCCTCACAACAAATGCAAAAGTTTACATAGAAATAATTGTGAAGTAAAATTTTGAACATTTATATTTAAGATTTATATTAATGAATGACCAACTTCTAAATCGTGAAAAATAACATCCAATAATTCCGGCCCCCGAGCATGGGCAGGGGTGCGATAAATTCTTATCGCTCTCAATTTCATCATCAAAAGTGATGACCTCTCATCGACATTTCTCAGAGCGGTTAAGATCCCCATGTTTCGTAAGAACGACGGATTTGAAATAAACGAAATAAAAACACACGATGAATAAATTGATTACGAACAGTTTGCAAATGATCGAGTGTATTTATATTATGAAAGATTTATAATTACCATTTTTATATTTTGACGTGCCAATTACCATTTTTATATTTTCCGTTTAATATTTTATTATAATACCAATTTTTTACTTACTAATTAAGCTTCAAAATTACCTTCTGTTATCAATAATCAATAATAAATAAAATACAAATCAAAATTACCAATTTTTTACTTACTAATTAAGCTTCAAAATTACCTTCTGTTATCAATAATAAATAAAATACTAATCAAAAGCAAAAACACGGTATTTCCATATTATTTCCATAGTATTAAATTATTAAAATAGTAAACCTTAATTTACGGCAGATTTGAAATAATCTTATGTTTTGAATAATAAATAAAATACTAATTAAATAGTAACACGGACTTTCCATATTATCTGCATAGTATTAAAATAGGATTGCCTTAATTAATGGCAAATTTGAAATTACCTTTCATTTTGAATAATAAATAAAATAGTAATTAAATAGTAACACGGTTAAATTATGTGCATATTTTAATTTAATATTTTTAATGGAAAGAGTGTTTTATAAATGGAAGTTAGGGACTTCTTTTTCATCCCGTCCCGTGCCCTTGAATCATAAAGACCGGCCTTGGAAGTTGGAAATGAGATTTATATCATTTGGAACTCGATAAGATTTGTTGTTTCTAAGTGCGTGCCTGCATGGTAATAAAATTTATATTGTTTGGAACTCGATCTTATTGTTTGAAGCTTTGTTTGCATTCAGTTTTTTGTTTTGCAATTAGTTTAGTGAAAGGACAATGCTACGTTCACAAACAGAATGATCACAAACTTCACAAACTTACTATTTATGGTTTAAATTCTCATTTTTTTATTAAGTCTTATTCAATTCTCACTCATCGCTCCGTTCTCTTTAGAATATTGCTACATTTGTGTTTGGAAAAAGCTTTTAGTTTAAGTTACATTTCAATTCTCATGATCGCCAAGTTGCATAATTTACTTGTTAGCATTCAAGAGGATTGTTTAATAACAAACATCAGTTAATTGCATCCATAAAAAATATTATGACTGGATATATATTAATTACTAAATAATTCAATTACATAAGGCATTATTTTAGTAAGAAATTCCTAATTACGGGTTGTTATTAATTGAATCCATTATTATATTTCGAAAATAAGGAAAAATATATTGAGCACAATATATACTCTACATAAAGTAGATGCAAATATTTTATTAAAGTAGCTAATACAAAAATATTTATTATTTATTTAATTTCGGTTAATATTAAAATTAATATTAATTTTAACCTTTTTTGTGTAGGGGCATTCGGTTAAATTGTACGCTATGGGGAAATCATGTCAATGTTTTCATTGATGGTTTGAGTGCAATAAATTCGGCCCTTCCAATTTTGGTGTTGCAAATGGTGAAACCTAAGCTATACAATTGTATTCTTATAAATTAATTCAAATTAATTTTGAAACACATTTACCCAATGAATTAATTCTAATTGTACATTATTTTTTTAATTATTTAGAGCAAGTGTCTGTTACAACATTTTATTCTGTGAGCAAAGTTTTACTCAACGATGAGTGTGATGAAGTTAAAGATTTTAGAGAAAAGTATGTCTAAATGTATTCTTGTAGATTTGTCATTTTTTAAAATATAATCAACGTGTTGTTTAAATTTATGACAATTCTAATCATGCAGGTTAATGTCAAGTGGTTATAATTTGACCCAGAGTTGTAGTATCATCTAAACACAATCAAGATCAAGAGATGATAAAAGAACTAGCAACTTGAAAGTAGTCTCCATTCATGAACTAAAAAGCATGAGCAATGTAAGGCATATTTTTTTACATGTTAAAATAATATCCTAATTTAAATTTTTTAATTCATTTCGAATAGTCAAGAACGACCAAAAAGGAAATAAATGCTAATTGCATTTAATACCTAAATTAGTTACGTATTTCCTAATTTCCTAATTTATGAAAGAACTTAATTGCATTTTTTTGAGGTATTAATAATTTAGTATTATAGAAAGTAAATAATTTCCTAATTTAAATTTTTAAGTACATTTTGAATGGTCAAGAATGACCAAAAAGGTAATAAAATATGGGTAAGAATTAATCTTTATTTTATAAAAACTTTATAAACAAAATTATATTTAATAAAAACATTATTCATGAGTATATTACATAGTAAGTGATTAATACTTTTGATATTATGTTAATAAAATACGTAACTAATTTAGGTATTAATTTCATTTTTTATGAGGTATTAATAATTTAATATTATAGAAAGTAAATAATTTCCTAATTTAAATTTTTTAATTCATTTCGAGTAGTCAAGAACGACCAAAAAGGAAATAAATACTAATTGCATTTAATACCTAAATTAGTTACGTATTTCCTAATTTCCTAACTTATGAAAGAACTTAATTCCGTTTTTTGAGGTATTAATAATTTAGTGTTCTAGAAAGTAAATGATTTCCTAATTTAAATTTTTAAGTACATTCCAAGTAGTCAAGAACGACCAAAAAGGAAAAAAATATGGGTAATGATTAATTTTACTTTTATAAAAACTTTATAAACAAAAATATATTTAATAAAAGAATTATTCATGAGTATATTAATTAGTAAGTGATTACTAGTTTTGGAATTATGTTATTAAAATACGTAACTAATTTATTAAAGAATTTAATAAAGTTTAGTATTATAAAGAGTAAACAATTTAATATTTTAAATTAATTAAAATGTTTCGAAAGGCAAGTGCCACCAACAAGGAAAATTATATTAATAGTCGATTAATTTTCCTAATTTTAAATAATTACTATAAGCAAATATATTGTTTTTTAGTAATACAAATGTATTAATTTCTTATTTACAGAAAGGATATTATTGGATACTTAGCGATGTTGTTGAAATTGAAAATAGCAATGAATGGTGTTATCTTGGTTGTCCCAAGTGCAACTAGAAGGTTGTTCTAGATGCTACAAGGTTCAAGTGTATAAAATGTGACAGAGATTATTTTAAGGGAGTGTATAGGTTATAATTTGTACTCAAAAAATGTATACACCAAAAGAATAATTTTTTAAATTACTAATTCATAACGTATGATTAATAGATACAAGGTGAGGATTTGCGTTATTGATATAGAAATCATCCTAAATAGGACTAAAACATAGAGAAAAGTACCAAAATAGAACTTTCATGTTTTTTTTCCCGGAATAAGTTTTTGCACTATGGTAATGTGACTTTGCATTGTGGTAATGTGACAGTGTACATGTGCAAATTACTATACTTTTTTGGTAATGTATATGACCATGTTTGGTAATGTAAGTCCTATTTTGGGAACAAAAACATGGAAGTCCTATTTTGGTATATTTTCAATGTTTTAGTCCTACTTTGGTATTTCTCCCTTATTGATAATGGCGATGCTACTTCGCTTATTTTACGAGGTATTGACTTATTTAACTCTTTAAAAAAGTTTTTGTAGTGCAATTTAATGTAACACTTTTCGACACATATAGAGAAACGATGATTCAAGCAACATTCCGAAGGAGATTAGAGACATTGTTGATATGCGGGCTTTATTTTGCATCTACGTCAAAGAAGCTATGGAAAACAATTCCTATGTTGGTGGCAAAAGTTTTGGAGTTTGGGATCTTATAACAGATAAATCTATCATATCCCGGTATGAGACGATGGAATTGGATGATCAATTTGAACAAGCCCTTAGAGAACATGAGAGGAATGGAAATGCTTTAGAAATGGTATTTATATTTGCAACCATAAACTAAAGTAATTCCCAAAAAACCACATATTTTTTATCAATGAAAAAATATTAAACTTTAATTTTATTTGCAGATTGGTTCAAATGATGTCATGAAGGATTTGAGAGCAGACAGTATATCAAGAAAAGAAGTAATTCATCAAGCGGACCTTGGGAAGAGATCTTTACCAGATGAATTCAGTTTGAGTGCGGAAAATAAGAGATTAAAGGCGATCAAGGTGGACAAGGAGTGACATATAAATCAACAGATTTATTATGTGTTTGGTGAATTTATGATTTCTTTTACTTGGAAATGTTGGAACAAACTTTGTACGTTTAACTAAAGTCGTGTTCATTTCTGACAGGTTTTGATAATTGCCAAACCGCCGTGGATATGAAGAGTTTCGTTGAATAACTCAAGGTGTGAAGAAAGGCATGGAACAAGACCAAAAAGACTCAAGGACAAGGTCAAGAATTGAAGACGTAGTCGAGTCGGTCTTTTGTGATCAAAACCGACAATCAATTCAAGTCTCGGTTCTCAAAGAGTCAAAATATTTTTACAAAATCATAAACATTTTTAAAAGCTTCATTGTATTAAAATTCTTGGTCCTTGCCCATACCAAAAACCACCTCAGTCGGCGCTTGGTGTTCGGCATCGGCATACGGCATTCGGGGTTCGGCGTTCGGTTTTTGGCGCCCGAACCAACTCGGTAGTTTTCAATGTTTTAAACCTCGTTTTTATCTCTGAGCATATTTAAAAGGTTCCCAAATAATTATTTTATAAAAACCACTTTTATATCTTGGTCAATCGGTCCAACACATGAAAAACGGTCTAAACCGTACGCATGTGATTTACGACCTTGAAAACATAGTTTTTACCAAAAAAGTTTTGCTTTCACTATTTTATACCATATACAATGTTTTTCAAACCTGGTTTTTACTTTTGGGAACACTTCGTTTTTGGACCTCGGTTTTTCAAAACGGGTTTTTGCCGGCTGGGTCTTAGCTGGGTGATAATCGATTATCACCTCAGTGACAATCGACTATCAGCCTCTGTAGCTTTTGAACTTAAAGTTCTGAAGCACGAAATAATTGATTGTCACTTCTGCAACAATCGATTATCACAGTCTGCAGCCAAAACCCAGGAACTTCTAAGAGGACCAATAGTCAATTATCACTTGTTGACAATCGATTGTCTGGGTTACCGTTGTCCTCCAACGGATAGA